GGCCACCAACCAGAGGAAGACTTTGATCTTTTTAGGGAACTTCGTCTTCCAAATGGCTTTGAGGAGGGGAAGCTGCACAATTTGGCTGTGTTTTGTGAGGTTTAGATGGGTGGATTTTGTAGTGAAGACTCCCGAGGCTTCTAAATTCCACCTGACCCCATCTTGGGCATTTCCAAGGCTATTGCATCCAACTGATTTACCAAACCCAGCCAACTGTTGACCTCTCTGTCATGCAAACCTCCTCTAAAACCAAGGTCCCAATCTTGTTGCTCCTCGTTCCAACAATTGGAGATGGTATCATCCTTCCTTGAAGATATCCGAAAAAGGTCTGGAAAAGCCTGCTCCAAGGTTTTGTCCCCTACCCACAAATCTCTCCAGAATCTGATTTTCCGACCGTTGTTTGCTTTAAAAGACATAAAAACTAACGAAGAGGCTTGTGTTTCTTGCTATGTCGAACCAAGGACGCCCTCTAGCAGTCCTTTTGGGGCTGGCAGCCAGCCACCCAACCGTGGGGTTAGGTCCCATAAATACTAGCAATTACTCTCCTCCAAAGAGCATTATCTTCTTGAGTGAAACGTCATAACCATTTTAGCAAGAGGGCATTGTTCCGTTGTTTAAAGGAACCAATGCCAGGCCTCCATGCATGAGTGGGAGAGAGGTCCATTCCCATTTGACTAAATAACAGCAAGGATGAAAGTTTCCACCATCCTAGAAGAAATCCCTCACAAATTTTTCCATGGTGTTGATGATGGTGGTTGGAGCTTTCAGCAAGGAGAATTAGTATAAGGGCAAGCTATTAAGTACAGATTGGGCTAGGGTTAGGCGGCCTCCTTTTGAAAGGGAGAGATTCTTCCAATTTGCAAGCTTCTTCCTGAACTTATCCACCATAGGTTCCCAAAACTCGATTGTCTTTGCATGATTGCACTTCACAGATTGGATTGAATCTTTCTCATTACCAAAAGGAAAAACTATGGAGCCAAAAGAAATAAGAAAAAGATAAATCTTTTGGTTGGGTGAGGTGAGGAGACATAGAGATGGGTCATTTCAAATTTTTTTGGTTAGCTGTAGTCGTAGGAGCACTTATTACCTTTCGGCTAATAAGCACCGACACATAGAAAATCATCAAGTGTCAATGTCGGACACGGGAGCGACATACTAGGACACGGTGGAAACACGGGAGGGACACGACATTCAGAAAAACAACATTCAGAGAAATAAAAAGAAAATCCACGAACAAAAGGTGACCCCGAGTGTTGTTGAGACGATCCCTATGACAGGAGGCAAGGCCTTCGCGCCTCAAAGGTGTCCATAACGAGTGCCTTGGAAGAGTCAAAGTAAGGAATAGGAAGAAATGGAAGAAGAAGATGAGTCGAAAGAGAAAATTAATAAGAGAAAAATAAGAAGATAAACCAGACAATCTTCTGAGAAAGAAGAAAAGATAGGAGAGAAGAAGAAGAAGAATAAAAAGAAAATTTAATGCTAACACTGCATGTGCACGTAATAACTCTCCAACATGACTAACAAGTAGCAAGTCTGTATATGCAATAATTAGCAATTTTGTGCATCCCATGTCTCTCCTCCATGATTGACAAGTGGCAAGTTTAGGTAGTGTAGATTATTTAAGCCTTGTATTTTTTTTTTTTTTGAAGCTTTATTTAACGCTTGTATTGATTAAATTTTAGTCATAGTACCTTTTTTTTTACAATATTTGTTTGTAAAAAAAAATCTCTTTTTTTCTCTTAATATCTATTTTTTTCCATACTTTTTTTTTTAACAAGAAACAACTTTTCATTGATATATGAAAAGGAGAAAACGTTCAAGGATGCAAACTCCTATAGGAGTGAGAGAAAAAAAAGATGAAAGCAAAATATAGGCTCGACGATGAGCAATACGATCAAAATAAGAGTGATATCAAAAGCCAACAATAGAATCAATCTAACTACAAAAAAAAAGATCCACCAAGATGTGATGACACAAAAGAGAAATTTTAGGGTCTTTAGCTTCGGGTTTGCCATCTTTGTCTTTTGGATAGAGTTCTTTAATCTCTCACGAGAACTTGGCTCGAATTTCAGCTAGCTCCCTATCCCAAGCAGCTTGGATCTCCATCCTTCTTCTAGAAAATTCTTCTAACATCAAAGTCCATTCTTCGCGGAGCCTAACGAGTTCAGATTCAAAAAAAGTTAAAAACTCATTCAACTGAGAAGGAGATAGGCCAGAAATGTATTTGAGAGAAGAAACGATGAAATCTAGAAACATTCAAAGTGTCGTCCGAAGGAATATCCATGCTATCAAGGAAAACTCTCAAAAAGAAGAACTTCAAATAGTTGTGACCCTTCAAGCGAGTTATATAAAAACTCAAAACAAGTTGTCCTTTCAACTTCTCAAGTAATTTAGAAAACGAGGTAACATTAATCATAACAACTTTCTTGAGTGACTTTTCAAATTCTAAGGAGGAAACGGCTATAAGACCCCTCAGCTTCCTAAATCGAGTAATAAATGCTATCCAATGGAAAGGCCAGGGAACATGCACCATCTAAACACCTTGAAGACCGAAAGGTTGCTTGAGAAGTGAAAAAACATTTAACGTGATCACCAACCAGCATTTAAAGAAGCTGCCAAAATTTGCCATACCAAAGCCAGCCAAACATCTTGATATATTAAATGTGCTTCCGGAAGCCCAACAGCCAGCAATAATGCGTCTAGGAATCTGAAACCATGCGGAAAAACTATCTGTGGGGAAAATGAAAAGACACGCCCCCAACCGAACCAATCAAAAATCAAATCTGAATGTTAAGGAAGAAGGTGAAAGGTTGCCAAAAGTACTCGATAGGATCTGCCCACAAATCTTTGAATAACTTGAAATAAATGACCGCCAAAGAGATTTCAAATGCATATMCCATTTTTGCACAGCAGGGTTATGAAAACCCAGGAGAAGCAACCGGCCTTATTGTCTGTGCCAACTGCCATTTAGCTAATAAGCCCGTGGATATCGAGGTTCCACAAGTGGTACTTCCTGATACTGTATTTGAAGCAGTTGTTCGAATTCCTTATGATATGCAACTGAAACAAGTTCTTGCGAATGGTAAAAAGGGCGGTTTGAATGTGGGGGCTGTTCTTATTTTACCCGAAGGGTTTGAATTACCCCCCCCCCCAATCGTATTTCTCCCGAGATTAAAGAAAAGATAGGCAATCTGTCTTTTCAGAGCTATCGTCCCACTAAAAAAGCTGCCCAAGGAAACAACAGCAATGGCAAGACAAAGAGCCAACCATCAAGCGCTCGAAACCCATAGTAACCTTGCTACATTAAATTAACTTCAGAAGTAGGGCATTCGAATTCTCCAATATCTTGAAGATCAAGAGGCCTTATTAATTGGGACAAGAGTAATTCTCATTTCTTCAAAACAAGAAGGAATGTTTGATTGTTTTAAAAGATCTGGATTTTCATCTCAATTTGCTCTTTAAAGAGGAGCTAAAAGTCTTCCTTAAACGAATGCTCATTAAAATCTTTGATAGGAGAATCTGATTTCGAGGAACAAGCCAAGCTACTTTTGCTAACCACTTTCATCTTCTTCACTAGCTTCAATATCCGAAATTTCACCAGAAGAATTCCAACGACCCAACCGACATTAGTGGAGCTACGTTTCCTAAGAAAAAGTTTTTCTTTGGGTCTTTCTCCAACGAGGATAGAATACATATAACAGGGTGCAACAAAGATTTGCTACTTTATACCTTGCTCTCAATTGGTGTATTGTGTACAAGCATTCCAAGGAAACCCAAAGTCATCTTGGCTTTGCTGCTAACTTCTGGAACAAACCTTTTTCTATCTTTGGTATCTCATAGTACTACCCAAAAAAGTGCTACAAGATGGATGTTCTTTGACTTCAGCATGAACGTCCTTTGAAGCAGAGGTGAGAAAAATTAATGGAGTAATGATATTATGGCACTTCTGCGGAGAATTTGTTATGAGAGGAATTAAAGTACTTCACATTCTGTAACTCCTAACAATGTGCTTTACATCTAGTTAGATACTGCTCTTCTTTGTGATTCACTTTAGAAAGGCTTTAGCAATATGGTTTTTCTTCAATCCTTGCCAATTGGTTGCTTTTCTGTACTTACAAACTCTCCCGACTAGCTCAATGGGTGCCACCAGCCTAAACTACTACCTCCTAGAGAAAGTTTCTCATGAGCATTTAACTCCAAGTAGCCACCTTAACAAAAATCTTGAAAAGAAACAAATATTATGTTGGAAAGTTTCCAAGAATGAAGTCACTCCTCAGTAAAATAACATCTACTCTTGCGAAGTCTCTTTAAGCCCTTTTGGTAACGTTCATATTTCTTGTTTCTTATTTCTCATTTTCACTTTTTGAGAAACATAAGTGTTTGATTATTGTTCCTACTTCTCGTTTTTAATTTTCAAACAATATTTCTAAAATTGTGTAGAAATTTCAAATTTTGAAAAAACATAATCAAGTTTCTTGTGCACCCGTTTCTAATTTTTTTCAAAACATAAATAAAAGCAACTTAATCATTCTTGACTTATAAAATGCATAATAAATATTAAAAAATAAATATAATATAAAAATTTGTATATTTAATTAAAAAATTGATATACAAAATTTACTTTTTCTAGTTTAAAAATTTTAGAGAACGAGAAAAAAAATGATTACCAAACATGTTTATGTTTCTTTTTCAATAAAATAAGAAAGAACAATAAAAGTTATCAAAGTTTCTGTTTGTATTTATTAAAGAAGAAGAAACGAAAAATGAAGATCAAGAAACATCGACGTTACCAAATATTAACTCATTCAACCACATGATCCCTAGCATAAGCCTGTCCTAACCTTCTAGTGATACCATTCTATAACATATATCAACGTGGAAAATCAGCCGAGACATGAGAAGTACTTTTTTTATGCTTTTAAATGAAGAGAAAGCAAAAGCCTAAGTTGTGAGTGGCATCTTTAAACTCCACGAGCAAAGTTACGAGGAAAAATTTCAACCTTCTCAATGAGATCCAGGACATCTTGATTATCGACAAATTCAATGTAGCTCCAATCAATTTCCTCTTTTACATATTCTTCTTGCTCCATCTTGAATACGTGCTGGATAACATCATAATATCCAGATTTGACATTCAAGGATAAAAAGAAGAGTAAAGAAAGTAAGATCAAAGATAAGTTTTCAAACGAGACTGACCTCATACCTGGTTGAAATGTTGTTGCAGCTTTTCGTTTGTGTAATTGATGCAGAATTGCTCAAAACTGCATAGAATGAAGGATAATCACAGTCAAAATACACTTATCAATCAATAACTCAACCCAAATCAACAACTGTTCTAAATTTAAGAGATCTTTATGATTGCTCAATTAGTTAAAATCTAGCTAACAGACATCAAAGGATCCTATTTCATGAAAATGGCATAAAGATCTATATATTTGCATGTGTGTCGTGTGCATTGGTTTGTGAATCAATGTCCAGTTCGTCTTTGTTACAAACATCACCTATTAGTTTTAAAGCTCTCAAAACCATAAATATCAAGGACTCCAATCAGATATTTTGAGCCAGGATCTTGTCCGATGGAAACGTTGATTTTATCTACCAACCTGGATAAGTAAAAAACAACACTGTAAAAATTCTTGTTAATGGAGTAAGAAAAATAAGATAAAACAGCAACAGAATTTGGACGTGGCTGTGCTATGATAACTAATATTACCAGTCAAACAAACGAGAATATATTGTCTTGGCTAAGCCATCCCTGCTAACTGTTGCACCAAGCGGATCAAGACTTCTCTTAATGACATCCTCTGGTGTAATTATCATGCGCTTGCAAAGAGCATCTTCCAGTGCCTGGGGGTCACACCTGAAATACTTTTAAAAGATCAGAAGATACCAAACATGCAGGTTATGATGAGAAATACAAAGTGATAAAAGCAAAGCTCCAGTCACACATGAGAAGCTCTGCTGTCATGTGAAGATGAAATTTTGATTCGTCATCTTTTACAAATGATGAATCAGACTCTTCTCCTTTTGCAAAGTCAATATTACCAAGATGGAGAATTGCAGCCACAACTCTGAAAATTGCATCCTGAAAGAAAGAGCAAGAAAAAGAGAAGAGAAGGCATTTAACAGTAGGTTGACACAGCAAAAGAACAGCTACGTCTCGAGCAAGATATCACCTGTTCTTGTTCACCTATTCCAACAATATCCATGGCTCTCTTTGTAGCAAGATAATCATGAGCATCATTCACACCAGCCAGTTCATAACAATTTGATTGGTTTAGATAGTGAAATGATTTTGGATTTCCCAACTTATATCTCTCTCTCTCCTGAAAAATATATTCATTCCACTAATGAAAACTGGCTGACAATAAAAGAAATAAATAAATAAAATAAAGGGATATCTACTAAAGCAAAGGAATGGGATAAAGGCCAACACCTACCTGAGGTGGAGCTGCACAGAGAAGATAAAAGCAATGATAGTTCCGCTCAGGGTCTGATATTTGGCAAACCCGTGATCTCTCAAGAAGATAAGTTCTGATGGCAGCTCCTGATATTCTTCCCTTCTTGTCAAATTGTATCTCGACAAATTTCCCAAAACGGCTGTGCTAATGTATACAATGAATAATCAACAGGCGTCTCATGCAACAAATTATTGAAATTTCTCACTTCTATAAAAGAAGAAAGGTTCATATGATTAAATGAATGGTCTAATATCACTGATAAGCATGCACACGGAAATGGAAGCACAGCATCCAGCAAAAGTCAGTTCATGTAATTGTCAATTCAACTAATTCTGAGAAATGCCCTATGTTGCAAAGGCTAAAGTATAAGGATAAATTTTTACCTTGAATTGTTGTTTCTTACTGTTTTTGCATTGCCAAAAGCTTCAAGAACTGGATTTGACTGCATCATGTTAAAAAAAACACGTGTTTAATCAGGATTCAAGAAATTGAGAGAAATAAAATATAACCAAACTTGAGAAGATATCACCACGTAACAAGGGGAATCATGGAGAAAAACAAGGGGATACTACAAAGACTGATGTTCAATATTACTTCAAATAGATTCTAGATCTGCCAAGTGAACGAGAAGTAGCTGCTCATTACATGTAAGAATTTGTAAGGTAATGCAAACTCATAAATGGTTAATAAATTCAAAATCTCAAGTCTCCTGAGAAGAAAAGGAGAGATTGTAAGAAAATCCTCCCCTTGAAAAAGGAAAAGAAGCATCGAAAGACCATTTTCTTCCATGAGCTTAGTTCTGTTCATTACTATTGGATTCTTATGGCCTCAATAAAAGTTTTGAGGACTACTTTCTGCATTCTCTTTAATGGAACTCTACCTACATGCAAAGTTGGTTCATACTGAATGAAAACTTTTGAGAATTTGAATTGTCCTCAAACGTTCTCAGAACATAAAGCCTTGTTCTTATCAGGACAAAATAATGTTCCCCAATCTAAATATAGCAATGTTGAAAAGGTCTTTCATAAGTAAAAAAAATACTTAAAAGTTAATATTTACATAAGAACTCGAATACACGTGGATCGACAGCAAAAGCAATTAAATAAAATAAGATATTTGGCACATACTAATAGAAAAACAAGATACGCATTCCTTGCTCTTAATATAAATAAAAACAAGATATACAATGTCACGTTCATTGTCTTTATGTTGTTGTCTTTATGTTCTTAGATCCCACAATAAATTAACCATCCTGGGTTGGCTCATTGGTCCAAAAGGGCCAAGGTAAATTCTAAATCTTTTCATCTATCAATGAAAAGTTGTTTCTTGTTAAAAAAAATTCTAAAGAATTTAGAGAGAATGGGTACAAACCCTAGTGGCCACCTACCAAGGATTTCATATCCTTTTAAGTTTTCTGGACAATCAAATGTAGTAGGATCAGGTGGTTGTCTCATGAGATTAGTATGCACGTAAGCTGGTCCGAACACTCACGAATATTAGAAAAAATAAATAAATCTCATAATAAATTATATGGCCACGAGTGTCTTTTAAGTTCCTCTACCCACTTTAGTAGGAATCAATTTTAATCATGCGTTCTATATATATAAGTACCTTGTCTAGTTAATCCTCCATGAAATAAATCCAGGCTTGATGTGCCAGCAAATAAGAAAAAATTAAGGGGAGCATCATGCTACCCAGAACCTTATTCAGTAAAGAGAGGAACTAAAATTATATGCATCTCTTATGCATGGCTAGTTGCATAACCTTCTGCTAATATGGTAAATGCATGTCCAGGTATCCTTAAACTAGCAGTAGGAAAAAAAACCAAAACATAACCCCATGCAACTTAGAGACACCATAGGGTGCTTAAAATTGTTATATTTTGATAACTTTGTATTACAATAGTTAGAATTACTGGAGTCAGTATCCAACATACTTCTAAAACTTGTTGTTCAACAGTCCGTCCTTCAGAAGCAGCATGGCCACCCAAAAATGCAAGGTAACACATAAGCATTTTGGTGGTTTCCGTCTTACCAGCCCCACTTTCACCACTCACCAGAATGGAGTTGCTTTTCCCATTAGTTATCATAGCCCTGCCACAAGTTTATGATAGTCTAGTCATCTCATGAGAAAACAAAAATTAGGACAAAAACAAAAAAGAAGCTCACCTATATGCGACATCAGCAATTGCAAAAACATGAGGCTTCAGCTCCCCAAGTGGTGCTCCCTTGTACTGCTCCATAACATAAGCATCATACAGATTTGAAATACTTTGGAATGGGTTGATGGCAATAAGAATGTTTCCAGTATAAGTCTGTATAATGTCAGAGAGTTATTATTTGGATCCCTAGCTGAAGTGTAATGAATCTGTTTTCTTTCACCGAGTGAATCACTAATACCCATAAACAATCTTACATAGATTTCATTTATTGCATATCTGATAGCCAAATTATGCAGCAATCCTGGCTCATTCAAATATGACATTTTAGTCATATCATCGATTCCAGTAGTAGGACCTTCTGCATCCCTTGGATATATATTTGACATTTTTACAACAACCTGCCAACATGAACTTGTGTAATATTTTGACAAACATATACAAGATAAATTGAGTTGTTTTAAGGAAATAGGCACGATGAGACACAAAGACTCCAAGAAGCCTAAAATGTGAGGGCATGGAAAAGGCCTCAGAGATGTGAGGCACACCTTGTACTATACTTGAATAATTTAAGCGATAGTTAATAAACATATAACTTATATCTACAACTTATAGCATGAGATTATGATAATATTCAAAAATCAAAACTATAAAGGTAAATGTCAACAAGGAATATTGATGGAAAATGAGTTGAAAGGAGAAAGGGAAAACATAATAGTTATGTGTATCATGTATGTTACTTTGAACTAACAAATGTTCTTTAGTGGTGAGTAACTGATGGGCAATTCCTCAAGACGACTATGACTTGTCCAGCCTAACAGCTCAGGTATCACCTTCAAATAACATTTTTGAAATTTGATAATTAACCAAATATATAGTTTCCACTCAAATGGGCAGAAACCAACCTGATATCCAAACATACACTGTTGTCCTTAGAAATTTACTTTTCAAGTAACTTGACAATTCTCTGATTTCACAGCCCTTTATTAGAGAAATGCACTTAATATTCTCTTTCAGGAGAAGTGCACTTAATAATTCCTTCTGGGAAAAATGTGACTAACTGCTTTTGAGAAAAAAGTCGGAGGGGCAAATTCCCTTCTTGCACTCTTCTCTTGTTCATATACACTATCAGCAGTTCTGACTCTTTTAGCAACCCCTTCAGTCTCCACACTGCCTCTTTCAACTTCAACTTAACAAGAAACTTCAATGATAAGATAGAGGGTCCATATACATGACTTGTCTAACTAAGATCGTTAAGGGGTCTGCATCAAATTATCCTCCTATATGAAAAGAGTTCGCACAACTCAGCTTTTGTACTTGATTCCTTTTTTCAAATGAACATGGACTCCTGATTTTCCCCTGCTGTAGTGTGGACCTCTCTTCTTTAAACATGTTTGGAATTTGGAAAGCTAAAATTCCAAATAGATTCTGTACTTTCTTTGGTATAATCAAGGAAAGACTCATTCCAAGAACTACATCAAAAGGAAAATTTTTCTAAAAAGTCACCGACCTCAATGATGTGCTATTTGTGCAAAGGTGGCAAAGGTTTTAATCACTTAATGCTTTATCTTTCTTCTCCTCTTTTGTGGACCTCACGAGTCAGCCCAGGGACACTGTCAACTAGATACAATAGCCAATTATTGCCTGTGTCATTCCCAAATAGCAGAACTGCAGAAGAATTCTGAAGCTTCTGGAATTTCATGGAGAGAGTTCACAAAAAGCTGATGAAACAACCAGCTAAAACGACACTCGTGTTGACATTTCAAATCTCAGTCACGGAGGAAGAGAGAACAGTGCATTTTATTAAGAGTCCTTTAACACCTAGAAACATTGTAAGATTTGGAATAGAAGTCACTTCTTGACTTCTTTGTGAACTTCAATCACCAGAGAATCTGGATATATTCCTCGTTTTCTTAATCTTTTATGACTGATGGTTCACTACCATACTTTGTGTCACCTTAACTTGTTTCTCTTTGGTGCAGGCCTCTTAAAAATTGAATTTCTTATACAATTCTTATTTTTAATTTATTACTTAAGTGAAAAATAGAAATTAAACTATTTTACCTGCCTCCCATCACTAGTTTGGATCTCAGCCTCTTCCCCAGTAATGTTCAATACGACTCCATCAATCCAAACAGATTCTATATCTCCCACCCATATTTGGGAACCAACAACGATATTTGCAGATTCGTCCTGCACCAGGTTATGCAAAAATCATGTATTAGATATTTGCGGCCTTTTTATTTTCAACATTTGGACTTAAATTCTTTTTCAATATAATATTCATGTGTCATACTTCAATCAGACAATAAGTAGCTGATAAGCATTACATAAACACATCTACATGAGTTCATGATGCCTGTAGCTCAAGAAGGATGTGAACATCTCAAGGTTTATTCTACATAAAATCGAACTGCTTACTCAATATCTAAAAGAAAATCTGAATAAACTAGAGAACCATCAATACCATAACTACAACGTTATCTCTAAAAAAAATAACATAGTACTGTATCGTACAGAAACAACGAAACGCGCAGTTTCTTCCTTATGGACAGAATGTCATATCAACCATTTCATATCAGGCGAGGGTTTTACATTTCTAATAAACTCTTTGAACGCCATTGTACGACCCATTGTGCAATCTCCCGCCAAATTTCATGGAAACTGCCAAAATGTTCGTATGCGCGATTGTTGAAAATTTGAAGATCGAATCAATAATTTACTTACCATTCTGACTCCCAATATGAATGTCTGCAATGCAGCTACGTGAACATGAGCGTTTGATCGTATGTGCAAAGAGAATGGGAGGATCAGAAGTTGTCCCACAGAAGTATGAATTTCTGGGAAAAAAAATTTCTGCGTAAACCCAGAAGTTTGGTTTTCCCTGGCTCTGTGTTTGAGCTTTGTCCTCGTGTTGCATGGTTTGTGGCAGTAGTAATCTTGGATCCTCCAGTTCCGCCATTTTTGGGCGGAGTTCTTGTGGCTATTTTTGCTCTTACCAACGGGAGAGAGAGAGAGGAGAGTGATCAAACACACAAATGCTGCAAATTTGGCAAAATGGGCCCACATTTTCCAAGAAAATTTGAAATATAGCACTTCTTCTTTTAGGAGAAAATCCGAGGGAGAAAAATAACTTTATTTTCAAAAAATGCCTATTTTGATATTTATACTTTTAAAAGTTACTAATTCGGTCCATATTTACAAAACTATCATGTAATAAAAATTTGCGTTTACATTTCAATAAATTTAGCGAATGAAGTGTCTAAAACTATGATCGAAAAAATGAGATAGAAATGAAAATAAAAAGACCAAAATGATTAAAAGTACACGGACTAAAATGGACATTTTAAATGTACATCGACTAAAATGAACAAAATTTGAAAATACAATAACCAAAATGAATGTTTTGAAAGTATATGGATCAACATAAATAAAAGTCAAAACTATAAGGACCAAAATAGTATTTAAACCTAGATTAAATTATTAATGTCGTATCTCTAGTTTGGACTTAGTCTCGATTTGGTTATTATAATTGTTAGGTAAATATATGATGTATATGTAAATTGACTAACGCCAGCAAACAATTTACAACATAACTAGCTATTAACTTAATATTCAATTGTTTATCAATATTTTCAAATTCCACTTTTTTTCACACATTAAAAATTCAACAATAATTTAGTCAAATCGTAACTTTATGCGAGATTACCTTCTCCTTTTTGTTTACGTGCCTTTTCTTTGAATATATTTTGGTCACTAATAGCAACATATATAAAACGTTGTAAAAAGTTAGTTATTATTTTTAAGAAGTATGTAAAGTCCGAGTAAACTTGTTATAATACTAGAAAACATATTGTCTCATGAAAAACAAAAAATAAGCTATCTTAATCTATTTGCTTCATTTACATATATGCAACGAAAGAAAAGAAAAAAACAACACCAAGTTCTTCTTTCCAATAATCGTTGTACAACACCATTAACGCAGAAAATCTATCATGTAAAAATAAATATGAAAACATGATTTATTAAACAACAAAACTTATTTATCATGAACACATCAATTCTCTTTCAAAACCCATGAAACGGGCATAGAGACACCAACTCGCTAAACAATACAACCTTACAAATTAATAAACATAAAGACACTACTTGCTTAAAAACTGAAACCTTATGAACATAAGGTAAGCTATGATTATCAATAATTGTAGGATAGTCACAGTACTTCAACTATATCACAACCAATACAAATAAGTAAATCAAATCTAGTAATACTTTAGGAACATATAAACAACTCAAAAACTCATCACTCGTGAATATAAATAATCAACCCTTATGTATATAACATAAGCTATGACTACCATAACTGTAGGATAGCCATAACGCTCCAACTATATCAAACCGAATATAAATAGGTACATATATATCAAATATCTAGCAATGCTTTATATCATATAAACAACTCAAATACTTATAACTTGTGAATATATTAACCTAATGACCTTATGAACATAACATAAGTTATATGACCACCATAACTGTAGGATAGTCACAACGCTTTATGAACATGTATAAATATCTCAAATTCTCATAACTTGTGAATATAAATCTTACCTTTTTAAGCATCATTGGTGTTAGGAAAAATACCCTACTACTATGCGTACAACGCATAGCTAGCAATCCTAGTTCACCAATAAAAAGTTGAACTAGGAACCTTTTCCCCCTTCCACAGTTATTCAACAAATTTCAAGTCCAAAAAACACAATAAAGGAATAAGAGAAAGTATATTAAACGACACAAGAGATTTATATTGGTTCATTCAACTATGACTAGGTCCAGTCTTCCGCGATATGCGAGTTCTACTATGATTTGGGATAATACAATGGGTCTCACAAACGTTCTACAACACTCTCTCTAGATGCCACAACAATGATCACCTAACTTCTAAGCACTACGTTACTTAGGAATACAAGAATGAGAACACCTCACCGACGAGAATGGGTTGCGAACGACGCACCACAGTCCGAAAACTCATTCTCCCTCGCTACCAGTGTTATGTCGTTGCTCAACAAGGTTATGCACACTTAAAAACCAAAAAAAAATATATATATATATATATATGCAAAACTACTGTATTTAAAGTTCACCACAGCACCGCGATGCTACAAACTTATAAGTTCGCCTCGCACCCCGTTGTGACAGCGCTGCGGCACTGTCCTCTCGGCCAGAATGGCCTGCTGCTGACTGCTTCTTCAATTTTTTTGCTCTTGCTTCGTGCGATCTATTTCAACATCGTTTTGGTTCCATATTCCCAACCATTGGGTTCAAAACTAATTCTCTGGGATCCTTCTTCAAACTTATTAGTCCTCGTTACCATTTCTTGCAAAGTCTCATTTCACCCACGGTTGAGTCAATCAAATTTGATGGTTCTAATTAGTTTTATTTTGCTCAAATATCAATTAAGCTTAGTTAAATATTTGTGAGTAGTACTAATTTAATATATTAATATATTCATAGTTTGGGATCAGGAGTTGTACCCTCCATTTCCTACAAGACCAAAACAAAATATTAAAAAGAATAATGGAATGGAAGAATATGTTAGAGTATTGAAGCAAAGATGAGAGATAAAGAAAAAATAGTTTTAGATTTTGTAACAGACAAAGAGCAAAGAAGTTTTCTTAATTCGTTTCAGTTTCTTCCTACCTTTTTATATAGGCGGGAAGATGAGAAATGGTAAAAAGATTAACTACAATTATCAGGGAGTAAATTAGAAGAAAAGAATTAGGTGAGATATGATGTGAGAGAAACAACTAAAGTAAGAAAGTCAAAGTGAAAACAAAGAGAAATAAACGTGCTAGACATGTAGCTTGATGAAGCAAGACTTCTAAGTACTGTAGAAGCAGTTGAATCACTAGGTTTTCAACCCAACTATTTAACATTAGATAGTCTTACATAAGAAAAAATTGAAGAAATTGTTTACAAGGAAGGCATAGTCTGAAAATAAATTGTCTCACACAAGTTGGTAAAGGAGATAAAATCAGGTGTGTTACAATAATACTTTTTGAGATTCTTCTTCTCCACAATGATATTAAATGATTAAATTGTCTCTAAATTATTAAATGTATTCTTTTCTCTTTTCGTACAAAAAAAAATTAGAGGTATGGAAGTTTGAATCTCCGACCTCAAAAGAAGGAATATGTGCCAATTATCAAACTATGCTCATATTGACCATTATTAAATGTATTCTTGTACTATGTATGTTACATAAAAGAGATTTTAGTCTAATTAGGTGGATCTACCTAGGGACCAAGAGGCGTGTGTCGTGTGAACCTAAATAGCTCAACTAGTTAAGCCAAGATCGCAAGTTCAAATCCTCACCCCACATATTGTACTAAAAAAAGAAGCGTGTGCCGCTTTAAATTTTCTTTAAATTTTTTAAAGAATATATTTTTACAGATTCCTTTAAAAAGGAATTCTAAGTTTTTGTTCGAATATATATAATCTGATCTTTTTTTTCATTTGAAGTAAATACTTTGAACAAATCTCTTTGTAAAATTAAGATGTAAACTATATTTTCTTTCATGAGTCTAAATAGATCCCTAGAAATTTTAAACCCATGAAACAATAATTAATATATATATACACACACACTTTTGGAGATAGTATTTATTGTTTTTATATTTTTTGTTTTAAGTTTCATCTTTAAATTTTGTTTTGTTTTCTATTTATCAAACATAGAGATGAAAATATATATGGGAGTGACTTGAGAGATAAAAAAGAAAACTTTTTAGGAGAGATTTTAGATAGAAAATTTGAGAGTAACAAACATGCCCCATAATATTTAGTTAGAGAATGAGAATGAAATATTACATGGGGAAAAGTTCAGGGAAGAAAGAAAAAAGAAAATTTAGGGAGATAAAAATTAGAGGAAAAAATAGAGTATTTTACCAATTGAAGTATATGCTCATGTTGATAATTAGTGGTACGAACTAAAATGGTCCAACTATGCAAAGATCGAAATTAAAAAAAAAAGAAAAAAAAAGAGGGAACAAAAATTAACATTTTGAAATGAATAGACCAAACTAGGGGAAAAAGTTCGAAAGGGAGGAAAAAAAAAGATAGCAAATTAATAAACCATAATTGTTTCATTTTTTTGTGTTTTAAATTTTTAGTTCAACATGGAATAATTCGAATTTCCAGTTTTTGGAAGGTAAGTTATGTCTTAACTTATGCTCACAATTATATGAAAAAAAAAGAAAGATCAAACTATGGAAAAGGAAGAGAGAAAAAAGAGAACAAAGGAAAAAAGATAGTTAAACTACGACTTTAGCCCTTGAGAAGATAGAATTATGTCTAACTGAAAGTTATTAAATATCGAAATTAAAAGTTCAAAAAACTATCAGATACCATAGATAAAATTGAAAGTTTAGATCATAAATATTTGAACATCTACTTAGACCCAACTTCGAAGTATGTGAACTAAACCTGTAATTAAAAATAATAACTAAAAAAAAACTGAAACTGTACAATTTCATCATAGAGATAACAGTTAAACACTCGGATCATAAATATTTAAACATCTACTAGACCCAAAGTTGCGAACTCAACCCGTAATTAGAAGAAAAAAAACTGAAACCATACAATTTTATCATCAGAGAGAACAATTATACAAACTAGTCACTAAAAGAAAAAAAAAATATATATATATAGGTAGAGATATGTGATAACTCCCCATAAAAGAGTATTTTGTGGTATAATTTGAGCAATTTTGGTGTGTAAATGTGAGAGTCCTTATCAAAAGATCATGGAAAATGGAAGAAATCATTTAGTTAGGTCTCTGAGCTGTTAGAATTCTCAATTCCCTCATTTTTAATGAATTATACTTAATTATGGATGTTTTGTATAAGAATTGGAGAATTTGTTGAGGGCAAGTCAAGTACTTCTAAAGCTGTGAAAGTGTTGCTAGAGCATGGCAGGAAGATGCATTTATGCTGCAGCATGAAGCCGCTTCGGATGCTTTAGA